ACCGACGGACTCAAACAAATATTCCCCACTTCCAGTGAAAAAAAGGGGAAAAACTTCCAAGATACGAAAACTGCCTTATTATTCCAAATTTATATGATTGAAAGAAAGGATAGAAATCAAAGCTTTCATAGAACCGGATGCTGAATGGCGCTTTTATGCTAATGCTTGACAATGATCCTATGACAGATCAATGTTAACACGTGACTAATTCAAGCAATCCTTTACGGTTAATCATTCATAAACGTATAGAGCAGAAAAAAAGATTGTCAAACTTCCTGATTTAATGAAATTTTATTTTCATTCGTGTTCATGCAATAAAGTGAACTCGCTGTTCATCCCAGCAGCAAACTGGGAAAGACGAAATAATGTAATTATATATTACTCCAATAAAACAAAGTACGGTTTACGTAACATATCGTCAAAAATATTTATTTCCAATTTGCATTAAATTGCAAAATCATGGCATTTGAAGATTTGTGTGTAAATTTAAGAACTTGTTCAAGTGCCAACCAATTGGAGACCAGTTATAAAAATTCAGACATGCATACAGTCGAACAGATTTAATTGGAATATTTTTATGATATATAGAGGAAATGATAGAAATCAAGGCTTTCACAGAACTGAATGCTATATTAAGCTTCAGTATGATCCTATAATTTTATTGCGCTTAGTATGCATTAAAGAATGACTCTCCGTTTTCAAGTGTAAAAGAATTTGTTTCCTCTGGTAATTATTTCTTTTCCTTGACGATGGTAAAAAAAGTAAAGCTAGATTTCTGAGTATGGACATGTAAATCACAAATATAAAGAAAAACAGTGTAACAGTTATGTTTCTGCTTATACTCTTTATTTCTTTGATGAAATACCGTATCGCACAGAAAACAATCACGATTTTATGACGATAGATAACATGTTTTTAAAAAGGCAAGAACCTTGTGAGCACATTAAAATGATAGTTTTTCAATCAATTATTAATAAGCACCAACGATTCAAAAGTTATGGTCAAGGTTGAAATGTTTCAAAAGAATGACAAACGGGCAAAACTGAAGATGCCATATGTAAGGTCTTGTGACAAGGAATACTAAGTACACCTTTGAAATATGAATGTTCTAGCACCAACTGTTCAAAAGGCATAATCAATGTTAATGCTTTTCAAAAGTATATGTCAAACTCAAAGGTCAAGATCAAAGGGTCAAAATAGGTGATAACTTTGTTAGAAGAGATATAAACATGTTAAATATTAGTATAAAAGCCCTAGCACTTAAGTGTTGACAAGCTGTGGCCAAGGAGGGAGGAAGTTTCTCTAAAGCATGTCAAACTCGAATATTTGTACTGTACCCAAGGAAATGTGTTATATATGGAATATATCTGTGAAATATGAAAACCCTATCCAAATCCTTCAAAAGTTATGGTCAAGGTTCAAGTTTGAGAAAATTTGCAAAAGTAAGTCAACCATCGGTATTTTAGCAAAGTTGACTTTTTGAATCTGAGTTTGAACGTCTATTTAACCACACTTTAACTTTGTCCACGTGTGTCCCAAGTATTTCTTTGGGTACCATTGATTTTACCTATTGGCCTTGACTTTTAAGTTTGAGTTATTTAAAAAAAAAACAATTGACTTTGGTCATAATTTTTGAACGCTAGTCTCTGTGACTTTCATATATTTCAAGGGATTTCCTTGTGACAAGACCTTATCACCATTTTGATTTTATCATCTTGATCTCAAGTTCGTCGCTTATATTTGAAAAGAAATCTAGCCTATTAATTTTGAATATTTGGTACCAAGGCTTTCATATTTCATTTGTATATTTCGTGTTACAATCATGCTAATTTCATCTCTTGGAGTATAGTTTTCTCTCTGAAATTCATTATTTTTGCCATCTTGTCTGAATTGTAAGTACTAGGGCTATTACATTTCACAGTTGTATATCTAGGTACAGGACTTTTTAAGCATACTCTTGCAGCATGGCCTACATTTGAAAAACGTGGCCTTGAGCTGCCATACGGGTACACCAGTGTTCCACAAACACATCTGGTTAAACTTTTTAAAAAAAGAATCTCAAGAATGCAGGTTCCTTTGTTTGTACTATTTTGTAGTGTTCTTTGTACTTATAAAATATATGGAGATATCAAACAGTAGTATTCGAGCTCAAAAGTCTATATTGATTATATAGTAAAAATACATGAGCTCAAAAGTCTATATTGATTATATAGTGAAAATACATGAATTCTTTGAAAATCTTCTTCTCTGCTCCTGGGTATTAAATAAACTAAGTACATAGTTATGATGAGCAAGAGTGCCTCTACCAAAATTGTGAATTTTATGGCCCCAGGGTCAGGGGTTCTGGTGTTAGGGCAGGGCTCTATTGATTATATAGTGAAAATACATGAATTCTTTGAAAATCTTCTTCTCTGCTCCTGGGTATTAAATATACCAACTAAGTACATAGTTATGATGAGCAAGAGTGCCTCTACCAAAATTGTGAATTTTATGTCCCCAGGGTCAGGGGTTCTGGTTTTAGGGCGGGGCTCTATTGATTATATAGTGAAAATACATGAATTCTTTGAAAATCTTCTTCTCTGCTCCTGTACTTATATACTGAAAATGAATGAATGGTTTGAAATCTGCTCCTTGGTATTAATCAAGTATCAAGGCCTAAGGGTCAGGGGTTCATGTGTGGTAGGGGCACTACTGATTATTGCTGAATATTACTGATTAGTTGAAATGCATTTTTTTGTTCCCCTACCCTGCGTATGGGTATTAAGTAAACAAACTAAGCAACTGCTAAGTGTAATGTTATGATGATCAATGGTACCTCTTCCAAATTGTGAATTCCGTAGCATCTGGCTTAAAACATGAATCAAATTCAATCACTGGAAAGTTGTTGCATAATGCTTAGGTGACCTATAAGGCCCACGGGCCTCTTGTTATAAAGAAATATTTATACATGCATTAAAATATGATTTTTTTTCGTTTAACATCATAAATTTATAATATACATATATATTCCTATATGTTTTAATTAAAAAATTTTAAAAGTCAAGATTATTTAAAATGCCTACAAAATTGAATAATTCGAATTATGAGTTACGCAAGAGTGCAGTTTCATTTATATAGAAAAAAACCCTGCAGGAATTCGAGAAACATTTTCTTAATTCTGACCAATATATCTTATCTTACATCTTTGATATAAATGCCAAGTCAGGGAATAGTTAGTAATTATTGCAGATAAAAAAACAATTCACTCAGAACATATACATATTTTTAAATCACGCTTGATTTAAAGTGCCTGTGGCTTGGCAAAAAGCTTTAATTACAGCTGTACAGGTAGCTGATAGAAATTCCACGAAACAACAGTTTCATATATTAAGAGTTCATTCATCAATTCCTTTACACATAATTTAGATTCTGATTTATCAAAACTTGAAGCAAAAATGAGGTATCTAAATCATCAAATATGTGATTTCAATAACGCATTTTCCCATTATTCTCATAACTGTTTCTAAATCTTCATTGGAATTCCTCAACGTTGTAAATATGATTGTTTCCATGCCTTCACTATTTATTATTTTTTTTATTTTATTATTTTTATTTTTGTTGGTTATCGCATTTTTCACCAAGAGACCCAAGTTGTGGTTGAATTATTCCAAATTGAAAACCCATTTTCTACAACCGTTCTTTCTGATTTAGAGTTCTAAAATGCTGAGCTGAAATGTTTTTTTCTATGCTACACACAAGGTCATATTTTAGCATATTGCAAAATCTTGTTGGTTTTGATTTTTTTAAAACATGTCGAGGAGTCTGTTCAGAACCATGTTAAAATAACATGGAAAATTACTCTTGTTGTTAATGTAAGTGAATTATTCATTACTTGCAAACGGTGTTTATGTCTCCCAGGTGAGTTGATATACACAAAAGCATGTTCTGCGTATTCTTCAATTTATTATCTGAGACAGATTATTGACAAATTATATTTCGCAAAGTTTAATTAAAATACAATAATCTCCTTTTTGCAAATAAATACTGTCGTTTGGTCGAGCGTTGACTGGCATTTCAAATATAAACTGTCAGACTATTATTTTCATACTGAGCCGATTTTAACTTTTACCGTTTACCGAACCAAGACAAGAGGTGCCTATTGCTCAATGGCATATAAAGATTCCAAGGGTTCCCGATTGTTCTGTTCTCAGTTTGCGTTGCATTTTAGACTTTTGAGCATGATTACATGTGTACTCTTCCTTGTCATCAAATTTCTGCTAACCATAAAAATAATGAGATCACAAGGAAATAATTTTATCAATGAATGTATATTTTTGAGAAATGGATTCTGTCCAAATTTGACATTGAATCTCGCTGATTTTAATTTTAGTATGTTCGGTGCATGTTGTTTTTGAATAATGCACCAACTTTAATTCCTTCGGTTATCGGGGAGTTTATCTTCATTAGAGAACAGTTTCCTGGATTCATCAAGACCATCGGTTTACTATTGATAAAATGTTGCAGATATATCTTAATTTTTTGTCTTTTATGTTCGGTCGTTATCTCAATATTGTTAAAGCAAACATTTACTTATCCCTTTTATTGCTATATTTTTGTATGTAAACTTTTCACCCTCTAAAGTTATGTATGAAACTTTATAAAAACATACAGATTCATTTTGTGAAGTTTTTAACAATAAATATTCTATATCACTTAAAAATTGAATCTCTCACTCTTTGTATCAGTACCAAAAAAGTTTTTTTAAAATCTCTTTGTACCAAATAAGCGGTCATTGCAAGGCAAACACTATCCTCACCGAAAAAAAATCGGCATGCAGACTTTTCAACTTTACAAAACTTTAAACAAATAATTCGCTAACCAGCCTTATCTCCTCCAATCCAATGTCTTTGACCACTTGGGCTATGTCCTTTATTTTCACACATATATGGCCAAAACAACAACGCCACTCAACACAGTTCTGCTGTGACATATTTTACAATCTATGTTTTTTTTATTTTCAGAGTATTATTTTTCATGTGGAGCGTCATCCTAAATTCACGTGGTTTGAGCAGTGCGTGACGTTTAACTTTTTCCCGACTGAGCAACACGAGCTTGCTTACAACTTATTCAACGTTATCACTGTGTATTTGTTACCACTGGTCATCATCACAACTTCATACTCCCTCATACTTTACAAAGTGTCCAAAACAGCCAGACGAGACGAGGGTTAGTCATTCATATTCTTTCTAGTTAAAGCAATGTTCTTTTTGTATCCATATGGGCGTGGTTTGAAGGTATTGTCCATTCTTTTATGTCTTTAAAATTAAAATAGAAAACTGTGCAAAAAGGTTTGCTTAAAAATTATCGTTATTTTACATACAAGTACTAATGAACGAAATAAAAGGACGGCACTCGCTATATCTTGGATTGACCGGGTGGGGTATGGGTGGGATTAACAACTTTTTTTTTTATATCTAACTCTTCCCTATTAATTCGCCGCTTTGAACTACCCTCTAAAAATAAACTCGTATCAACTGGTAGCACATGTTTAAAACACAGCGAATCATAACATGAAGAGAGAGGCAATGACCCTAAGCCAAGGCCATCTGGTTATGTTAAAATTATTCAGGAAGCATTGTAACACGAGTACGGAAGCCCATTTAGGACCTATCAAAAATATTATTGAATTCGTTATAACGATTTCAAAAATTCGTTATAACGAAATTAATTTGAAATAACAGATTCACTGAATTCGTTATAACGAATTTTATTTGTTATAACAGATTTATTGAATTCGTTACAACGAATTTACTTTGTTATAACAGATTTATTGAATTCTTTATTACGAATTTAATCTGTTATTACAGATTTGTTGAATTCGTTATAAGCAATTCAAAAATTCGTTAAAACAAATTCTTGAATTCGTTATAACGAATTCAACAAATCTGTAATAACAAATTAAATTCGTTATAACGAATTCAATGAATCTGTTATGACAAATTAAATTCGTTATAACAAATTCAATAAATCTGTTATAACAAATTAAATTCGTTATAACTAATTCTAAAAATCAATATAACGAATTCAAAAATATTTTTTGATAGGTCCTAAATGGGCTTCCGTACACGAGCTTGTAACACGAGCTTTGATTGATAACAAAGTCGGTTGTAAATTTCCGTACACCCGACTTGAGCCGAGTGTAAATAAAACGTGACGTCACAATGCATAGTTTTTAGCTCTACTGGTCAGAGCGTATGCGATAGTAATGCGTCCGTCCGTCCGTCTAGCTGTCTGTCTGGCTGTCTGTAAACAATTTTTCAAAATGCTACTCCTCCTACAGTTTTGGTCTGATTTAAATATAACTTGGCACACAAGTAGACTACACTAAGATACATAATTCTGTGCATTGGTTTTTTATTTCGATGAACGTTGTTGCCATGGTTACTAAAAATAGAAATTTCTGTGAATTGCTTTCAAAATGCTACTCCTCCTACAGTTTTGGTCGGATATCAATATAACTTAACACACAAGTAGACTACACTAAGATACATAATTCTGTGCATTGGTTTTTTATTTCGATGAACGGTGTTGCCATGGTTACTAAAAATAGAAATTTCTGTGAATTGCTTTCAAAATGCTACTCCTACAGTTTTGGTCGGATTTCAATATAACTAGGCACACAAGTAGACTATACGCAGATACATAATTCTGTGCATCGGTTATTTTAATGAGCGGCAAGGATCATTTTTCTATTGATTGCTGTTTTAAAGTTTCAAGTCCCAACTGCTACTTTTCTCTTCCTTTGTTTTAAGTATAAACCAGTAGAACTGCATTCTCGAAAGAGACTTCTGGTTCCTACCGGTGTCGGGTGAGATCTAACTTCAAAAATAATTGATTAACGCCTTTCAAACGTCTGCCGATTTTAACTTGCCTCATAAAACATACAGAAAACCCAAAACGTCCTCGATTCTTGCACCCGTTTATCGAAAGCAACGGAAGTGCCGATTTTAACGATGAGAAATGTAGAGGCGTCTCGGAATTACATACATGTAGAAAATCTAGAGAGGTTAGAACCCGCGCCAAACTTGTTCTCTGTAGATTTTCCGTGTAATTCACTAGTAAAACTGAATCTGATTGGCAGTGAAGGTCGGTTACCGTTTTGAATACCCTTCGACGAAAATTAATATGTCACGATTGCGATGTGACAATAATCGTGAATGAGATTTTTCGCTCAGATGGAGACGCCGCCAGTTGCCATCGGAGAACTAAATTTTGACCTATGCTCGGCACGCAGGGCCATTGAACAATGAGGGATCTTCTACGTGCCAGCACGGTTTTATCTAAAGGACCTGTCTTCACATCCCACAGCAGGATTCGAACCTGCGACTTAAGGATCAGCCCCTTATCCACGTCTCTGGAGCAGACGCTCTCTGCCACGCTGCAGCTCCTGAGTTGCATTGTAGATTGCTTAAATCGTTGGTTGATTGTATCAATGCTAATGATAGTTAGAATAGAGTTTTACTGAGTTGGGGTTGATTGATTCTGGTTTTGAAATCTCAGACTTAATTTGTCACGCAAGAATGTTTTTTTTAATTATGTCCTGCTATTGGTATAACCTAATATGTTTCATAGCCTAATCAAATGTTTCTTTATTCGTTGGATTTTCTTTAAATGTTTTACATTGAGCTTTTTAAAATTCATTTAAACGTTTTTTTTTTTATGAATGAACGGGATTGGACAGCATGCACTGCCTATATAAGTCTTCTCCATTGTGTTTAATACGGTGTAATAATTTATTGCATGAATGTTTGGGAGACAATAAAATTGGGGCCCTCGGGGAATATGATTTTTCATTGGCGAAGAAATCTTCATGTCTACCGAACCATCATGGAATGAATGTATGATATCCGCCTGATCTTATTTGTGCGGTGATCAAAAGAATAATATCAATATTTTTTTAGCGATAACATTTTACGGTGTCTAATAGTGTAACTCTAATGACATATTTCCTGTTTTCCAGAAAATTTAAACCGATAATAAATTTTAATTTCTCGCAGATCGTACGGACAAGTTCATGTACTTTTGAGCACATTAATCTATCTCTTTCTCTCTCTCTTTTGTTTGGGGGCGCTTTAAAGTAATTAAATTTGAATTTCGTAAAATTGTGTGTTCTGGAAACAAGTACACGTATTTTCTTTTCTTTATTTTGGTCATGAAGTCAGATTATCACTAGATTAAAAGATTGGAGAAGTGTATTAATAGCATTTGGCTTTCATAATATTTGGCTACTAAATATTTTAACTTCATCTGGACACAGATTTGTTAACAGAATTGTTGAGATCTATCACTGTTCGTTATATTTACCTATTCCATTGCTATCGTTGAAAGTTTTTCCACCAGACGATAATGTGTTGTTTGTTTTCAGTGTTTTTTTTATTTTGTGCGTTTGTTGGCTTTGACGATTTCGCAAATTTTTTTGTCATTATCAAAGAACTTGGATCTCGAGGCGATTGAATCGAGTGAGTCCTATATTATCGTCTCCGCTGAGCGTTTACCCTTAATTTACATAATTGTAATGGAATTATACAGCATCTGTAAACTTCATCCATATTTCCATCACCCACTGATGATGAGGTGCTAATGCACTTTGCAGTGTCCTATACTACATTCAACAAGTCATCGACTATAATTTTAGGCCTCATTGGAACAGCTCTCTTTATTTTGTATGATGGGTCAGTCAACTTGCAAGCAAAAGGTTAATGATTAAAATTCTATATTTAGTCGAATCACATGCCAAAGTTTTTATATGGGTAGAAAGCTGTTCCTTTTCCCAGCATTAGGTATAGGAAAGTACTGGTGAAACATCTGTAACCTTTGTCATTTTTGTACTGAGTACTGGCTAAATTTAGATATACCATCTGCTCTTGACAAAATGTTAACATTTAAAGTTGGTTTGTAAGTATGAAATAGCATTGCAAACGCACAATCAGCCTAAAATTGATTCCTAACTTTTTTGGAAACATCGCAATTCGTCAGTGTCTGCAAAAGAGAAACAATTGAGTGATTCTAGTACATTTTTGAATTCTGAGATCAATTAAACCATGTGCAGAAATATTTGCTTAAAATAAAGCAGATTATTATAAAACTACGTTTTAGTACATGTATTTTCCTGAGTATTTTCCAGCGCATAATCTTGCATGTATGATAAAATTATTATAGCGTCTCCACATAAACACACATATTTCTCTAATTTTCATGATTGAACAAAGCAAATATTGAAGGTTTACCCCATATTTAGAAAATCCAGTAATATACTTCTTTTATAGTCTATAGCAGTTAATCAAAACGTATATCAACCTGAAATGACATTTTGGTCATGTGTTTAAAAATGTAAAGCACACTTGCATGTATTAAAGTATTAAATATCAATACAGTGTATCATTTACAAGTCTGCATGCTAGCAATTTTGTGCACATGTATATAATTACAATTATTTAGTTTTTTCCCTATTCTGTAACGCTTGAAATACATGTACATGTATATGACTGTACTAAGCGATATACAACTGCATTTAACAGCTTAGCTTATTTCTATCTCGGACATCGTTATTTCCAGCACCGTGTTCGATGCGAATTTGCCTTCTCGACTGCAGATTACATGTAAATTCGAGTCTCACCATCTTCTCAGCATCAAGGTCCTAATGTGTTCATTCAATTGTCAACAATTATATGCTCAACTTTTCCGTTAAGGAACATAAACAAAGTTATGAAATAGTCATAGTATTGATATTAGAGTTTGAGTATTTGTTGTCAGTTTGACATTTGTATGATTTTTGTATGATTTTTATATTTTGCAGAGGAACGACGCGAGTTTGGACTGTATACACATCGGTCACACACATACCCGCTCTCCAGAAGTGGTCTCATATCATGCACGCGCGCTGGAATCATCGGGAAGGCCCGAATCAGAACATTAAAAATGACACTAGTTATAGGTAAGATACTCCTTTTTAAAACTATGAATGGAGTGAGAAAATTAAATCATACGTAGGTAGTCCCATCCTCATTAATCCTGCTTGTTTCCTTGGGGAAGCATGAATAAAGGTGATCATCTAATTTTTTTTTTCGTGAAATTTACTTGAAATTGAAATTTATTCAAGTTCACCTGAGATTGTGCGACGTCCGTCTATTAATTATACAAAATTTCTGCTTCTTTTCAAAGAACCATTAGGTCAAATATTTTAAGCAAAATTCGCATAAAGCTATTCTGAATTGTTAAATGGAAGGATAAATTCGTTTTCACTAGGGGGGATGACTAGGTATAAAATCCTAAGAAACATAAAGTAAGAAAAAGTGAAACTCAAATGAAATCTTTTGAGTATATGTACTGGGAGCAATGAGGTCAAGAAATTATACCGCCCCCCCCCCCCCCCGCGCTTCCGATATGGTTATAATGGCAAAGTCCATGTTTTGCTCTGGGAGACCCGAAATGTGTCAGATCAAAAAGTAAAATAGGAGGTGCGCAATGTATTATGTAACAAAGATTCTATGAAAGTCATTAAATTTCATTCAGTGGTATAAGAGGAATTGCGGATAAGAGATGGGTATCGCAAAGCGTAACAGACGGACGCACATCCCGATCACTATATACCTTCCCACTTTTCAAGCGGGGGGTATAAAAGGTACTTAATGCAATACCTGATAGCCGGTTCTAATTGTTAGATAAATGCAGAGTAAGCTATCATTGAACAGACTGAGAGGTATTCAGGTCATTGCACTTTATCTTAGAGTATGCTTCCAATATCCTTACGTACTTTGCACCCACATTGGCACTTGGGTTTCCTTTCCCAACCACTTCAAGACAGAATTTGATGCTATACATTCAATACGTATCTCGTAAAACGCCTCAATAGATTGATCCTGTAGAGGATCAAGTGACGGTAATCATATCAATAATGCCCTATCTGTTGTCATGGAAGACAACAACAGAAAGTTAAGAAAACGAGAACAATACGGTTGATGTGATATGCCAAGAGAATGAGATTATTTTTCAAAAGTATTCATTTCCTGCAAATATTTCTCTAATGTGACATCGAATACTTCCGAATGTTATCCAACAAAACTACTAATAATATAGTTTGAAATCATTAATGAAAGGATGATATTAATAATGATTAAAAACAAGCAAAAATCTAGAAAGACAAACTGAGACTGAATGTTTGAAATTTAAACCTTTTGTTGTAAAAAACTGGTGTTGTAGAGAAGGATTCCTCTCAAAGCCACCCCCCCCCCATCCCCGGGAATTTGTACTATAGAGGATTCCCCCTCTTTGTTTCTCAGGGAAAGTCCCCCTTTATTTTACTTCAATGGTCAAAACTCATCATTGATATTTTGGCTAAAAGTTTATTTGAAAAAAAAAATTGAATTTTTAAAAATGGAAATATACTTTAAAGGGACTGGTGGTTGGGCCATTTTTAGACTGGATCGATCTCCTTTAGAAGAAGATCTCCATAAGATGATCAAATTTAAAACTAAAATATAGGAAATTTTCCTTTGCCAAGTGATAGTTGACAGCTTAAGGTATCATATTTAGTAAATAAAGTTATATCTGATGGCTAATTTGTTGACCCCCAGACTCCTTAATATAGTGCTTTCAGATCAAGAAAAGTAAAGTTTACTTTAAACTTTACTTTTCTTGATCTGAAAGCACTATATTAATCTTAGTTTTAAATCATTTAGTCTCAACCAAAAATTTTCTAATTGATATTTACAAAATTAGTCAAAAAAAATGCTTTTGTCTGCTGGGGCATAAATACGTCCTCTTGTTCGCCTGCGGTGTAACATTGAATTTGATTGATTGATTGTATATTGTTTAACGTCCCTTTTGAGAATTTTTCATTCATATGGAGACGTTGACGTATGCCGGTGAAGGGCTTCAAATTTAGACCTATACTCGGCACTCAGGGCCATTGAGCAGTTAGGGTTCTTTATCGTGCCAGCGCCTACCGTGACACAGGACCTACGTTTTAAGGTCTCATCCGAAAGACCCGTGACTTTCATTTCTGATCACGAGCGCTTGGCGAAGGAACAGACACTACCTATTTTTACGTCTTAGGTTTGACGCGGCGTCGCGAACGAGAATCGAACCCGGGCCTCCCGATCAAGAAGCGAACGCTCTACCACTAGGCTACATGTACCGTGAACGGTCAATTTGAAAGAAGATGACAAATAAGCTATTAAGCTTTTGCAAATATACAGTTTTTTCCTGTTTAGAAATACTAGTAAACAACACATTTTTACTTTCATGAAAACGATACCTAGTTTTCTTATATTTAAACTCAAAAGAAGAAAAGAAAATGGGGAGACAAGCATAATTTTTTTTACACTGTTAAATTTATATAATATTACAGAAATAATTATATTACAATGCTTTAAGAGAAATAGTTTATCAGTTACTGAGATTTTTCTTTTTTGGAATGGACACTTGTAGCCATGTTACGCCCATACACACATAATATTGTGTATTTAATATATTTCATTGAGGCAAAATTGCACTCGATAACTATTTACCAAAGGATATCTTCCCGAAAAAAATCTGACCCCGAAGTGTGATTTCCGTGGGGGAATTCCTAATCTACTCTTTTTTCGTTGGGGTAGTCCTGCTCTGAGCCAATTTCTACTCTAAACTGAGTCTAGAGCCAATTTTCCGAAGCGAAAGATTTTACGATTATGATTTTTTATGCGATCAAAGTTGACTGCCTGCATTCTATGTCATTTATTACGATTAAGGAGTTAGCAAGTCTGATTAATCAATTTCCGATCGCAGCATTTAAAAGGAATACTTGTTTATCAGTTCGTATTTGTGGCTTGCTAGGTCGAGTATCAGACGACTGTTTATAGCAGGTCAAACACCTACGGCAGTTGATTTCATTTGTTTTATTGAATGATCATTAAAAACCACTAAATGTCCTTGTTTTGTGATCCTGGAATTCATAAGTAGATTAATTAGCGCCCAAAGCGTCCGATTATCTAGGAGTTGTTATCGATTAAACCCTTTTTCTTGCTGGATGTCTTAAGGTCCAGATCGATCCCCGATAAGTTGAACAAAACATGATTTCCAATGTACAGTATGGGCCAACTTGGCCAGTATTAATAATGAGTATTGTTATTCCCGGGCCTTTTGATCATTTTATTCGACTGACAAAACTGGGTTTAAATAATAATATATTAATCTTCTCCTGTATAGGGTACCTATTTTGCTAATGAAATACTTATAAATCAATTAAATTTAAATGACACCCTCTCTTCACATCTATTCATCTGCCACAGGTATATACACTATCTATACATATTTGCCAAAGTTCATTAAGAGACTCCGAATACTTTCTTAGGTTATTGTGACCTCTTTTCCAAAATTTAAGTAATTTTCTTGGACATTGGTTCATTAACACTAATTGTAAAGCGGGAACAATTGAACAATTTCTTTAAACGTTTGCTTGTTAGCACTCAGTCTCTAGAAAACGTTATTTGATTTGATCATAGTCTTACCAATGAAACATGTTGATGACGAACAGTATTCAAGATCAAAAGTCCGTAAAACAATACAAAATAGGAGCAGAGCAAAACATCAGAGGTGGGATCAGGTGCCATGGAGGAGTGAGCATCACCTGCCGACCGGACACACCAGCCGTGTGTTCCTTGTCATGATCGGGAATTAACGGGAAAATCCGTCGTCAATTCAGTGTGTAAATAATGGACTATCAATTAGTTTGAAAAATATCAGTCAGCATTTGACTCAGTGATAAATTGTATTTGCTTGCAAGATCACTGTATAGTTACCAACAACTATACAGTACTTTTTGGGGATATTTCGTTCGATCGTAGTTCTTTTCAACTTTGTATGTACTATGGCTGCACAGTTAAGAATTAAGCAGACGTTTTATAATTTAATTCGTAATTTTTTTTATAGAGAGTTGTTGTTATAGGTATTGACGAAATAATTTACAATTGCAGTAGGAAAAAACAAACTCCTGTATGTAAACTCAGTTATAAAAAAAGAACTTTCGTTATTAAAAATTAATCAATATTAAAATTTTATAATATCCGAGGCTAAATAGAATACGAAAAAAAATATCTTTTTCCTCATCACTTTATGTCGATTTTTTAGTGCATGACGCCCATCTAGACAGAAGATTTTGTTATTGAATATCCGAGAAGGAGTGTCTGGAACGTGTTGTGGGTTAATATTTATTTCTAATAGATATCGTAAAAATATAGAGCTTAGACATCTGTTGTATGTTTTAATAAAAAATTCCATTCTATAAATTGTGGAACCTTTATTAGATCTTGGCAAGTAAGACAGAGGGATCATTTAAAATCGTATCGATAATGTTCTTCTCATAATTGTCTCGTAAAAACGAAACGATATCGAGAAAAACATAAAACGAATATTAAATGTGTTAATCCTACGGAAAGAATTTTTTATGTGTGATAAAGGCTTCTACAAAATTATTTGCAGATTTATGACCCGATGAAAGATAACATTTAGCTTTTTTGATCTTGTTTTATTTCTGTGAAATACCCACGTAGGGACCACATGTATACCTTAAGCTATTTAACGATGTATATCTTTGAGAAAATTAAAAGTCAATATAAGAATAATCTGTTAAATGAATTAATTCGGAAATCAGTTGAGTCTGTAAAATTGTTGCTTCAGCATTAAGTTTATTCTTATGTAGGATATCCTAATGCATGGCTATGTTCAAAATTTCAAAGGATTTCATCAAAAAACAAATTGTGGAACCTTTATTACATCTTTGAAGACTTTAGTTTCAGCCAATCAGCTCACGCGTGAGATCTTGCCATTTTGACCATGTCTTAGCCAAAATATATCCTTATATTATGAGCAAAGCATTTCAAAAAATGTGAGCTTTTTTGTCCGTTGTGTGTCGTTGTTGTTGTCGTCAACTTTTCACATTTTCATCTTCTTCTCCAGAACTACTTGGCCAATTTCAACCAATCTTGGCACAGAGTATCCTTGGGTGAAGGGGATTCAAAAAAAATATTCCTTCAAATGAATTTTTTAGGCATGGGCCCTTATTGAATATCAAGGGGAGATAATTCAGAAATAGTGAAAATTTGGTGGTATGTTTTAAAGAACCACTGTGCCAGGAAAGATGAAACTTAAAGAGAAGCATCCCCAGGTAGTATAGATTCAAGTTTGTTCAAATCATGACCCCAGGAGTAGGGCGGGGCCACAATGGCCGATCAAAGTTTTACATAGAAATATATAGGGAAATTCTTTAAAAATCTTCTCATGAATAGCAAAGGCATGAATGATCATATTTATTTGAAAGCATCCTCAGGTAATGTAGATTCAGATTTGTTCAAATCATGACCCTCGGGGTAGACCAGGGCCACAATGGCTGATCCAAGTTTTACATAGAAATATAACACCGCGGAACATTAACTGGCAAGATTGGAAATATGCAGCTTGAGTCATATCTATCTGTTACAATCAAAACACTCAATGATAGACAATGAAATGGGCGGGTACAATTCGACGCGGACGTGGGGAAAACATTGGATTGAAATTCGAGTTTGAAATTCATTTTCAATCCACCTGAACTGTTTTCAAATGCAAAGTGTGAATGTATGATCCAAAAGACATACTTCAATTCCCAAATATATGTTGGTTGAAATTTATATTGATATGAGTTTATTAGCCTATAATATAATCTTAGGACAAAGGTAAAAGTCTTAGAACACATTTTTTTCAGGAGACGGCCATTTGATTCTAGAAGGGAGGGGGGGGGGGGTCAAAAATTGTCGAGTCAGATTATGTTTTATATATATACCAATTAATTTATAGGATGACAAGAGCTTTTTTAGTTTTGTCTTCAATGAAAAATGAATCATTAAGCCCCCCCCCTCCAACGCACACGTACATAAATTATATACATAAATTATACCAAACAGAAATCATATATATTGTTCTAAAACGTTGGACAGAAAATTCTGATTTATATGTTATTTTCAAACTATACCAAAATTAGAATTATTTATCTTCTGGGGTCAATCAGTAATAATGTGCCTTCCGTTCTAGCGTAACTAGGTGGATTGAAAATGAATTTCAATCCAATGTTTTCCCCACGTCCGCGTCAAATTGTACCCGCCCATTTCATTGTCTATCATTGAATGTTTTGATTGTAACAGATAGAAATAATATAAGTTGCATATTTTCAATCTTGCCAGTTTATGTTCCGCGGTCTTACATGAATATATTCTTTAAAAATCTTTTTCTCAAGAATAGCAAAGTCATGATTTATCGTATTTATATGGAAGAATCCTTAGGTAGTGTAGATTCAATTTTGTTCAACTTATGACCCCTGGGGTTAGGGCTGTGCCACAACATGGAATCCAAGTTTTACATAGAAATATGTTGAAAAATTCTTTAAAAATCTACTTTTCAAAAATGGCAAAGCCATGATCAGTCATATTAATATGTAAGTATTCTTAGGTAGTGTAGATTCAAATTTGTTCAAGTCATGACCCCTGGGGGTAGGGCGGGGCCACAATGTAAGTTAAATGTAAAGGGCAATAAAGAAGCCACAGGTAGTCAAAGAAATATGCAAGCATCCTTAGTGTAGATTCAAGTTTGTTCAAACCATACCCTCTCCCCTTTAAGGATTGGTTGGGACCACTTTTGGGTTTAAACTTTTCAATAATAAACTGATTTCTGCTTTTTTCCAAGCTACAGTGCTCAGGTGAGCGATTTGGCCCATTGTCCTCTTGTTTGAAAGAGCACACTAAGTTTTAAGTCTTTAAAGACAACCTGTGATTAAATGCATGTTTAATAAGCAAATCGAACTGGAAAAAAAATGACCAAAAAATGTAATCATATTATGTTTTCTCAATTTTACTATTCCTTAAGATTGGGTCACTTTTCTTTTCAGTGACGGTTTTTGTCCTGTGTTGGACCCCATATTTTCTTATGGTGTCCTGGTTTTGGATCGACAGGTGAGTGTTAACAATGCTATATTTTCAGATATACATGTATATAGTGGTTAAGTATAAGTCAATTCAGCGATGGTGTATACGATGGGCAACCAAAACATTTTTATACCTCACGCAACAAGTTGCGGGACGTACTAGTAAATATTTTTGACCCGACCATCAGTCAGTCCCTCAGTCTTTTTTTTTGTCAGCGCAACTCCTCAAACCGCTGCACAGAATTAGGTCAAACTTTGCAGATATTTAGGACATAATGAGTAGTTATGCATATTACCAGGAAATTAGGATTCTTTTATTTTTTCCGGGAGTTTCGGCACTTTTCCACTTAGATTTTTGGCCATACCTTCATTAGAGAGATAAACAGTTTGTCAGCGCAACTCCTCATAAACCGCAGCACGGAATTTGGTCAATTTTGCACAAATTTAAAATGTGTAGATGTGCATATTACCAGGAAATTCCGATTCCTTTATTTTTTCCGGGAATTTCCGCACTAAAAACTTATATTTTTGGCCGTACCTTGAATATATAGAGGTGAACAGTTTGTCAGCGCAACTCCTCTTAAACCGCTTCACATAATTTCGTCAAACTTTGCAGATATTTAGGACACAATGTGTAGATGTGGCATATTACCAGGAAATTCCGATTCCTTTATTTTTGTAGAATTTCAGCACTTTTCAACTTAGATTTTTGGGATATGTTGAATATAGCGATGAACAGTTTGTCAATGCAACTCCTCAAAAACCGCTGCACATAATTTCATCAAACTTTGCAGATATTTAGGACACAATGTGTAGATGTGCATATTACCAGGAAATTCCGATTCCTTTATTTTTTCCTGGAATTTCCACTTTTCAATTTAGATTTTTGATCATACCTTGAATATTGAGATGAACAGTTTGTCAGCACACTCCTTTTAAACCGCTGCACAGAATTTCGTCAAACTTTGCAGATATTTAGGACACAATGTGTAAATGTGTATATTACCAGAAAATTCCGATTCCTTTATTTTCTGGAATTTCAGCATTTTTCAACTTGGATTTTTGGGATATGTTGAATATACCGATGAACAGTTTGTTAGCGCAACTCCTCAAAAACCGCTGCACAGAATTTCATCAAACTTTGCAGATATTTAGGACACAATATGTAAATGTGCAAATTTCCGGGGAATTTTGATTCACTAAATTTTTCCGGGAATTTCAGCACTTTGATTTTTGGGGGAGCATGGGGTATGTGAGCTTGCTCATTTTTTCTTTCATTTAAAAATAAAAATGGTGTGCTTACCGGCCGGGCACTTATCGGTCGATGATCGACCAAACATTGTCCTATAATTGACCGATGGACGAACGATATTCATCAATGTATGTGCGACACCGGCCGAGCATTGTAGGATGATCTGTGAAACTGTCCTATGTCCGATCGATGTCTGGCCGGTAATGGGTGCCACGCCGGTCAAAATGTTGGGGCATCGCTCATATCACCGATTATCTACGGTCTTTACCGAATTTCAATTTTCGACGTGCACTATGTATCATTTCCACAAGAAATGAAGATGATTACTAACGCGGATCCGTAAGGCTCGATTGGAGCTACATGTGTACATGTACCATCTTTCTTTCCAATGATCCAATCCATAGCCACATATTATTTTTAAATAACAAAACTATAAACCTATCAGGATAGAATTTAAGTTCATATTATTAATCAGTTAGACATTTAATGGCTAATTTTCTAGTTGAGAAACATATTTATATTTTGAGTACCGTATAAAAAAGTTTCGAAAAAGAAAAAAATATTACTTTTCTTTGCTATTGCGTTAGCAATATTGAAAGTGTATATGCATATTGTTGTAAAAAAATATATTTCTTAAAAAGTAATTAACCAATAAGAAAATGTAAACAAAGCAGTGGTAATTCGCAAAATTTTGAAACGTAAAAATTAATCAACATCGTTTTGACCCGAATTCGCAAAATAAAATCGACGTAATGTGCACTTGGCTTGTAGAAATTCGTTTATGCATGTCTGAAGTTGCACAGACAGAAAATTTAATTGGTATAGTTTTTTTCCGGTTTGTTTCTTAGATGTTCATCTTGCTACAAGTAAAATGCTGCGTTCATATAAATTCTTTGCAAAGGGGACGATAGTACCGGTAGTTCACTTGCCAAAACCTTGAACGTTTTATTGGATCTGTCTCTCATAATTACAGATGTAAAGTAGCTAAACAAAAAAAAAATGCAAACAAGATCATAAATATCGAGCTGTGATTATGTTACCTCAGAAATATTTTACGGTACTTGTGAATTATTGAAAATATATGCTTTCTGAGAAAAATTGTCCAGAAAATTTTCATTTAATTTTTGTTGGTCTGACTAATACAGACAATTTAATCACAAACTTTTTCGGTTTTTACAAAGTATTTTTACTTCAAGAGAGTGCAATTTTATAATGGTAATTTCTTTCTCTTTCCTTTCTCCCTCTTAATCTTATCCATGAAAATAGTAGATTCAACTTGTAATTGAAGTAAATGAAGATCGACATAGTAATTGTGGAAAAAGCCTCCTGTTATTTGATTTTCTAATTTTTTTTCTTTTTGTTTGTAATAGGGAATCCGCTAAAAATATTGATACTAAAGTTCAAAGAGGCCTTTTCATCTTTGCCGTGTCCAGTGCGTGTCTGGATCCCATTGTTTATGGTAAGTTGGAGAGATATTCATTTTCTTTGACACTGCACGAAACCGTGACATGATTAAACCAAAAATATGGTAAGTAAATGAGTCTTAGTAATTACCAGACAATAAAAGCAAATCGGACAAAGTAACTAGGAAACAATAAAAGCAAGGACTAAGTAATCAGAAAACAGTAATAGCTCCTTGTTTTTTGTGGATCGATACATGTACTACGTCACATTACTTTTTCGTTTTAGATTATGATGTGTTTTTAATCCCTTACATAAAAACTGCATTAGAAGTCAGTGTAAAGAACGTGTCTAAGACACACTTGGTAAATTTCATTCTTAATGCATTATTCCATTTATTTGTGAAACCTTCCTTGAAATTTAAAAGTTGATGAGGTAGAAGCCAGTTTCCATTAAATAGACTTTGAAGGCAAGAAATCAAATAGAAACAGGCACTTCTATGATGTGTTATAGATAAACTGAACTAATTTCTATTCCTATAAATGATATCAGGCTTATTATTATTGAGTAGTTAAACGTCTGGGTTATCTGCTGATGGCAAGAATCAAATGATATTTTTTCACAATTTTCGTCTCGCTCGCATGACTTTATCCAAGTCAAGGAAACATCATCTGTTGCATATTAATTCTGTAGATAGTTAAACAAGGTTTAAACGGGATCTTATCCAACAACGTAAGATTTGAAATATTTTAGAAATTAATCTGCAAATCATAGGGTTTTCAATCAGAATCTCTAGATCTTAGATGTGTTGCTGCCTGCTGGTTTTAACCAATGTAATGAAACATTAACGGTTGGTGTGGTTTTATGTTTCATGTTGTATTAGTAAGATGATGCGAGAAAATATGTTTATGAGCCAATATTTCTATATCTGAGCCTGACTTTGCATAATAATAACCTTATCAATCTTATCTCATAGAAGAAACTATTATTTAATAAATTTTTAAATAAATATTTAAATTGACCGCATAGTTTAATCTGTAACAGCAAAACAAGGTATTTCATTATATGAGTATGTGGTCAATAAAATGCCATTTGTTTATATACTCACAATCAACAGAAACGCAACACCCTAATTTTAGTGTTAAATCATATACGGGTTATAACTATGTAACAAAAAAGTAATGACATCTTTTACTTTGCCAAATCACTTACTGGTATTTAACGGTTGAATGAATTTCTTTCCATTACCGGAAGTTGCTTTTTAGTCCTCTTCACAGAAATCAAAATTTTGCATTTTTAATAAAATTTTTAACAATGTCTTGGGTTTTCAAGGTTTTGTAGCTGTTAATCATAAGTATTGTACTAAAATCCCGGTAAAAAATCCTTTCTTTACCGGATGTGATGCCTATATTTCCTCAAAATGACTGATAGTGTGCATTTTCATTGCTAATGCTGGAAATTCTTTAAAGAAAAAAGAGCTGCAGATGCAAATATACACAGTGTGACTATGTAACTACTCATCAGGCTCGTGTGTTTCAATAGCATAAATGACAGTTTCTTGGCCGGAAGTCCAAGAGTTACTACACTACGCCAAGTTAGAGAAAATTCGACCGCAGTAGGTCTGAAAAACATGCATTTAAAAATGCCCAAGAATATTAATTTCGCTCAGATTAAGACATTAATATACCTACTGCATGGTAGAAATCGGGCTGCATTTGTTGTATATGGCGGACTGGCACGTTTTCAATTAAATGGTCTGAAGGGGGGATGTTTTAAGAGTTATTTGTTACTTTCTAAGGTCTAAAAATAACATTTAACGTTTAAATGAAGCATCAATTTTTTGTAAATTTACTTTTTACCTAAATTTATACATTTTTAATGTTATCATTAAACTTTAGAAACACATAACTCTTAAAACATCCCCCCTTCTTGCTATCAGTCATTTTGAGGAAATATAGGTATCACATCTGGTAAAGAAAGGAGGATTTTTTCCCGGGATTTTAGTACAATACCTATGATTAACAGCTTCAAAACCTTGAAAACCCCAAATATTGTTAAAATTTTGATTTCTGTTAAGAGGGCTAAAAAGCAACTTCCAGTTATGGAAAGAAATTCATTCAACCGTTCAATAACTGATTTGGCAAAGTCAAAGATGTCCTAACGTTTTTGGTACATATTTATAACCCGTGTATAATTTTCACTCTTAAATTAGCTAGGGTGTTGCGTTTCTATTGATTGTGAGTATATTTCTATTTGAAACAACTATTAAAAGTTCTACTCTTTTATTAGATGGACTTGGTGTCTAAGTTGTTTACATCAAATATGCATGACTCCAAAAATCGAAGCCATTTATTGATATGTGAGTATATTTCTATTTTGAAACAACTATTAAAAGTTCTACTCTTTTATTAGATGGACTTGGTGTCTAAGTTGTTTACATCAAATATGCATGACTCCAAAAATCGAAGCCATTTATTAAAAAACAATTTCTTCTTCTTTATATTGATTTCAAAATTTGTACAGAAAGCAGATTGAATTACAAACACATTTTTCTTCATTAAATTTCAACTTCGTTAATGCAGCAGTAAATATAAATTCAAATTAAATGTGGAATTCTTTCATGATTGCACTTCTTTTTGGGTCTGATTTCTTTTGAATTATGCTACAATAAGATACTTGATTCTGTTCATCGATTTTTAGTTGTTTCAGTTATATTTCTGCGAACTTTCTTTTGATTTTATTGTCACTTATAATAAAAATCATTTCAAAATGCACCACTTACATTTTCATGATAAAGTAAAATAGCAGTATAGATCAGTATAAGAATTCGTTGTAGCTATTTCCATTTTGATTTGCTGTATGGTATGAGCAGTAATGACAGACAAACATTTTTTACAGTAAAATCTGTGAATATGTTGCTCCATTCTGTATGATTTGAAAAAACCCTTGTCTATCTTCAGAGATTTCTGGTAACATGCAAATGACTATAAGCAACTTAGCATTCCACTTGTAAAATTTGTGTTCACAGAAGAACACACTTTAAACTCAACGATAATTTGTTGTTTTACAGGTATGTTTACAACTGCATTCCGCAAAGAGGCTAGGAGGTGGATTGGATGGTTTAAGGACCGATTAAACCGCATGGGTTTATACACTTTGACCCCTAACACAGCAAGCGAGCAGGAAAATTTCAAATAGCCGACTGACGAAAATTAGACTTCTCACATTTATTATTCACAAGGAGCCTTCGACCATCGTTTTTTTTTATTTCCTTAAAGATTATTAAGGGAAAGAACGAAATATTATAAATAGGGGGAATTACACTGTACATATCTGTATGTCAACTTAAATAATTTATCTATAAAGAATGTAAAAAAAAAAAACCAAGATCATTGAATTAGAATTGGTTTAAAACTTTATACACTGTAATTGAAAGCCTTGAAATTTGTTAACAGTGAAAAGATTTTTCATTTCATTTCAGATGTTTAATTATAATGCATTTTTTTAGATTTTATTTTTTACGTTGATGTTTATTAAAACAAGGTCGATAGAACAATGCCGTCCTGCTCACATATTTTTGTTTACTTATCTAAAATTAATAGGCCTTTATTCAAAATACGTCATTCCGAATCTTTCATCTGTATCAAGACCTTTTTAAAGATGTAATGATCATCGGTTCATCAACACGCGTTTTTGATGGAATTGTTGATGAGTTATATAGGACTGTCATTGCTTGTATTTTCAGCACGCGATTAAACACATCTGAGAGACCAAAATATATAGTCTGATCAAGAGATAATGAACTGCTTTCTCAATAAACTTAATGTCGAGAGTGTAATAGGGCATTAAAAGGACGTGTCCTTTCGACGCGCAATTTGATAAGAAGCAGAATTATCTTAACGCTCAGTTACATATCGACTCGAATTCTAATAAAATTGGACCCTCTTTTCATTTCCGCTAATGTATTATATGACACTGTTATCAGAAATAGAACGAAAATTTGTTTATTTTGGGGGAATAAGTTAGGGTGTTTTGAGAAAGCGTAATTACTTACTACAGTGAAATTTCAATCACCAATGTTTATTTAAATTTGGTTTGGTTTGGACATGCTGTATGTATAATGTAATGAAACACAAATGGATTGGGCAGCATATGACCTCTCCACAGTTTCAATTTACTATAAGAATAAAATGCACGTGTACAAAATACCTGTTAATAAGCAACATAAAATACCGTACGGTTGTAAAGGAAATTATACATGAAGATTTGTCAACAAATACTGATTGTACATGACAAATAAGTTACAATAGCAAGATGTACGTGTAAGACTTGTATTTACACTTTACATAATGACTTGTATAAACTGCTTACCCGGATATCGACATGCATTCAGTTAATTATAAATCAATGAGTATTGAATTTAATGCACAAATACCAATCCATTTTACCACAGTGGTGGACTATTTGCAACATTTATGATATAACATTCCATCGTTTAATATAACGTATTCCTGTTAAATGACATTTGATAATAAATCTCGTCATCAATCCTAAATGTCTTTCTTATTAAGATAAAAGCTGGAGGTTTTATGTATTGCCATTTACGATAAGCCTTGGACAAGACCTTTAGGAATTGTCCAATACTTGGGTACACTTAACTGGATTGGCCCAAGATATACCGGAGATATTTCAAAAAATGTACAATCGATAATGACAGTCTGATATCACACCTCTATCAGGCACCAATTACCATTCTTTTGTACTTTTAAACCTTGATATAATTTCTAAATGGCTATCTGATTCATGTTTTAGTCTGTTGTAAAGCGAGGACGAGACAAGGATAGGACTCTATTATGACACAATTAGACTGTGTAATTATAAAATAATGTGAAAACAACGAACAGAGATCGATTAAAAAATATGTACAAAACAAATTCGTGAAGAGGACATAAAACAAGACCCCTTGATTTCCAGAGGTGGGATCACGTGCCTATGAGGAGTTAGCATCCCCTGTTGACGAAATATAGATGTGTGATCAGACAATGGACCAATCGACGATTTTCTTGTATGATACAATGATCTTATTTATTGTAGTAAGACAATGTGTCATGAGAGTGAGTGAAAGATAAGACATAAGTAATTGTTCTTTAGATGAAAAGAAAGAAAGGTGAAAGAAAACTTTAAAAATGTTCCAATTTCGGTGGACGAGACAAATGTATGATCCCCAACTCTAACACAGCAGTGTCCGTCTTAATAGCTCTCAAAATATTTTTGTTAAATTCATATAATAAATATATTCCATTTGAACATGTGTACCTGTTTTGTTCTGACAATTTTTAACTTTTGAAAGGATATTTAATGCGTTTTCCGTTTATGTCCGTTGATATAAGTATCAGTGATAAGACCTCTAAAAAGAATATTGAAGACTACCCTAATTCATCTCGAAAACCTGCAGCAAAATTAAAATTCCAATGAATCGATTTTGACTTCTTTTTGAACACAAAATTTTCCTGAACTTTTTCGCAGTCCTGGATTTTTCCTTAATTCTATAACACTCGAAACTGGAGAGTTACCCGCTAGATGTCGTTTCTGCATCACTTCCGTAATTCCTGCTTTGACATTTACAAATCTTGGAGCATTTTCATGTTTGACGCTGAATACTCGGATTATAGGGGAATGTCTGGGCAATTAAATAGCACGATTCAAGAGAAAAATGTCTACCGAAACAAGATATGACACGTTTTGGTGACATGTAGTATGTATAGGATATTTTAGGCTCGATTTGCGAGAGGGGTCCGATGTAAACAAATGGAAGTGACTTACCTTCTCTATTTTATAATACCGTGGGTATGATTTTTTAATAAAACGTTAATTCTACTTTTTTTCCTGGATTTTTCATATGGAATACAATGTGAATGTGTACTAGAAGATAAATTTATGAAAAAAGATGAATAAAAATGTCTTTGGACCCAGAGTGTATATGCAGGGGAGGTGTTCCTGTCCACAAGCACCTGTGATTCAGTGGTGTAAGAGTAGTTGCAGAGATGTTTAACCCAACGCGTAACGGCAGGACGGATTGACACACACCCCAATTACTATCTACCCCACTTCTTTTCAAGCAGAGGGTATAATTAAGAAGGACCTTAAATCATTAATTTTAAAAGGCCATAAGTTACATAACCCGATCTTTCAACTACGGTCATAATTTCATAAAAATTATGGATTCTGCGAGCCGCCGATCTGTAGCTCGTTTCTACAGCTCGTAGCTCGTATCGGTGAAAACTTACCACCAGATTCCTGATCATGGGGCTATGAATCGATACTGGTAGGGGGCTCAATGCTTATTACAATCAAAACATGGACAGTGCTGCTGCTTGGTGTCCAGGTATGAAGATTTTATTAATTTTGGGGGCTTAAACCCACTGCTCAGGAACCAGAAAAAAATTTCCCCTAAACTCAAAGATGATATATTATAATTGATATTAAATTAACAAGTAACTGGATTAATTGCAGCTTTATACCTATTTAGAATCATTTGTGATTACATGTACGTGTACAAAAAAGGCAACTGTCAAAGGTACATAAAATTTGCAGTCTGTCCAATAAACACAATGCAAATATTAAAACCAAAATCCTTTTCCAAAAAATACAATGTTGGCTGAGAATGACTTAAAAGCAAAATGTTTTTTTTCTTCAGAAAACAAATTTAGCATACGTACGATATCTGCAAACTCTTGCTAAAATTAAAGTATTATTAAGAGAACACGCCAGTTTGTCTGAAGACCCCCACATGAACCTGGTAATAAAACGTAACTGATGAATGCTGATATTTCGAACTAATTTGTAACCTACACGCGTATTACGTTCCGATAACCATCGCCCAAAAATAAGATGCCTTTTAAAAACGAATCTGTTCGATTCATCTTCTTTGTAGATAATATGTGAACCTTGACGTAAACACTTGAATTGACTCATTCAAAGAATCCATGGATCATCTGAGTCTCATAGGTCGAGCTGTTTTCGGGGATTTACTAGTATATGATTTTCCCCCTTTACATGTCGATGTAAAATTTTCACCTTATTTGAATCTAGACCAGGTCCCTGGGTCAAAAAAACTAAGAGTTCAATTTCGATCTCACTTTTTCACTATATATTTCTTTTATTAAAGTGAGACTGAGATCAAAAGTGAGCTCGTCTTAGTTTTACGGCCCCGGATCCAGGGGTATAATACATGTACCTTAACCACACGAGTAATTTATAATAATTATGTTGTATTTGTACATACTGGTATAAGGTGAAAATCGTCAAAAAGAGGTCTACATTTAGGCTACAAAATTCCCAAAGACTCTAGCTTTGGAAAGGTTTTATAGTATTGATGGTAAAATATTTCGTTATTTCAAATTATTTTACGGGTCCTTTCGTCAAGATTTCTTCTTGATTTGTGTAACGGTGCCTTTTGAATATCAGCTATACTCGGCAGAATATGAGTTGCAGGCACAAAGCCCCCCCCCTTTCTTCCAAGCATAGCCATCACTTTTGAAAACGTTCATTGAAAGTTAAAGGCCTGTTGACCCTCGCCTCCCTACTTTCTTCCTAGACTTCTTAATATTGAAAATGCTAATTGAAGGCCGGTTGACTCGTCATTGTTTGTTGCAGTGTAGTAAAAGAAGGGTGGGCGGAAGCGCATAAAAACATTGTACTGAAAGAAGTTTAACACCACCCTCCTCCACAAAAATCATCTTCCCAAGTCAAGAGTTTCTGATCCGCTCCGCTCCCCATAAACCCTTGACCGAATAGGCTAAATTTGACGGGGTTAGAAATGCGTTCTCTGATTGGCCTCATTTTAGTCTGCATGAACCAATCAAAATCATTGTTTTACTTGTGTTAAACTAAATTGTAAACAGAAAAACAAGCCAGTTTAGTCCCAAGGATAAAGTCTTTATCATTAAATAGCCCAGTTAAAGGTTTGTCTCAGCTTTTTAGTTGAGTAATATTGAATTTATTACCAACTTCCAATATTATCTCGAATTCACTGTTCGTTTACTCTGATTGGCTAATAGTAGAGGTCAGTAGAGTTCAATATATGTAATCTCACTAGATGGCGTGACAGTAAACCCCATCAAACTTGGTCTATTCAGTCAAGGGTTTATGGGGAGCGGAGCGGATCAGAAATTCTTGACTTGGGAAGATGCACAAAAATAGGAATTTCGGTTTTGGATAATTCTACGTTTTTGCCATCGTCGGAAACCACGGGTGATCTCGTCTTTACTTATCACCCGTGGGCAAACTAGCTGAAATATCGCCGTAAAATATGCTAATTTGTTGTTTTTAGTCAACCAATCAGAAAGTTGGAACTCTTCAATTTTGAAAAATACGTTTATTACTTTGCTATTTATGGTAAATATTTTGACGCTTGTTAAAACGTGCGAAGTTTGATTTAAAACAATGAAAGTCAATTCGTACAGGTCACTGATATTAATATCCGTCAGATATTATGAAGGAGTACCTCTTTCTAACTGCAAAATGCACCGGTGAGTGGATTTATCAGCTGTGATACGGAATGAGTTTTTCATGTTTTTGTCATTGCCGAACATGCATACGTAACGTGAACTGTGATTCGTTGTTTCGCATCGCGACTCTGTGATGCGGCCAATCAAATGACCCATGAATATTTAATTACATACGACGATTTTTCGGCGAGTTTGCCCACGGGTGATAAGACGAGATCAACCGTGGGTTTCCGACGATGCGTTTTTGCCTGTCATTTTTTCATAGGTTTGATTTTTTTTTCTGGCTCCCCTTTTCAAAATTGATGCTTCGTCCCCGAGTTAAACTGGTTAAAGTCAATTGCACATGAAAACATCATATTTCACGTGCATGCTATTTGGGTATTTAAAATGTATATTTAAGGCATTTGCTGCCATAATTATGAGTTTGTTTAATATATCTGTCTTAATCGATAGAAAGGATATTAATTTTCAAATAGCTGCAGTTTCCATATTTTCGGTTTATAACCGATACAATAAATGCCAAAACTGTGATAGCAACCTTAACCTAAGAAAATCGTGTTTCGTCCAAAAATCTCTTTCAAAATATACTTTTTACCTCACATGAGCTGAAAGCTCAAGTGAGCTTTTCTGATCACCGGATGTCCGCCCGTCTGTCCAATTTTCACATTTTCAACTTCATCTCAAGACCACTGGGCCAATTTTGATCAAACTTTGTACAAAGCATCCTTGGGTGATAGGGAGTTTTCATTTTTAAAATGAAGGGCCAGGTCCCCTAAAAAGGGAAGATAATCAAGAAAAGTCAAAAACAGGGTGGGGTCGTTAAAAAATCTTCATCTGGGCCAGAACAGCTGAAACTTACTGGAAGCACCCTGGGATAGTGTAGAATATAAATTGTTAAAATCAAGACCCCGGGGGGTAGGGTGGGACCAAAATAGGGAATCCAAGTTTTACACAATATAAAGGAAAAATCTTTCAAAATCTTCTCAAGAACCATTGGGCCAGAAAAGCTGAAACTTAATTGGAAGCATCTTGGGCTACT